AAATACCACAAGAAATCAATTTCCATTTCGTTGCATTAAGAGCCCTAAACCATTCAATCATTTTGGTAAATTAATAAATCACGATGCTTGACCTCCGATTAAATGGCAACTAGTTCAGCCGCAAACACATAACGGCACTCTCAAAACTGAGTCACTAACCAGAAACAAACCCGCCGAAATTGCCGCTTTTGTCTTATGAATTTAGATTGAATCAGAAAGCGCTGACCATGAAGACGGAGCCATGTAAAAAGTTAATCACTTACCGCTGTCAGGTTGGACGGCCCTCCTGCTCCGCCGACATTTAGTCAATATTTCGCCGGGGCAAGCTTTTCATCTGGACCGCTCCGAACTGAACTGGGAACTCGGGAGAGATTCTTATCGCCTCGACCGCAATGGACAGGGCAAATTCATGGCGCGGAGCGGACAACACGAATCATAGTCACATCATGTACGCGCTAGACAGCCAAACAAGATATAGAAACAGCAGAAAAAAATATAGAAAAAATGCCAGAAACATCGTACTTGCGGTTCAGGTTCAGGGTCTGCACGGGGGGACTTTATCGTTGGCGCTACGACAACAAAAGGCGACCTTACCGACACATCGTTCATTTTAATTTGCACAATAACTCACATCCAACCAAAGCTAACTCGGTCTTTTTTTCGCAAAATGAAAAAATAATTACCCAAGCTGAGGAGGCAAAAAAGAAACAAAGACCGAAAACCAAAAGGTTAATTTAAATTTCAAGTCACACAGGAGACCAGAAGCGCAAAAAAAAGTACATGAGCTACTCTGACACTTTGTCCCCCAATCTCCCCCCTCCCCCACCACCACTTCAGATAGTGTCACGAAAATGACTTACAGGTTACTTCAGCTCAGTTCTCCATCTTTCGCCTGCAATTCATCAAAATGCAAATCTCGTTGGCACAAGACCGATGGCAAAAAATATGAAAATAAACGCTTGGGATTCGCTTGTATATATATTTTTTTAATACATGTATAAGGAATATCTCTGTAGTAAAGTCGCGGAGTTAGTTCCACTTGAAGATCAAGATCATCTCCCCTTGAGATGATGATTATTGTTTATTAAGTGTCGGCCCTGTCATAAAATTAAAAGGAACTTAACTTTTTATTGCCTTACGTTTTGGCATAGTGTTTTTTTTATTTTTATTTTTCGGTATTTTGCTTCGCGCCTGAGTCTGAATCTCGAGGCTGTGTGTGGTCTTCTGAATATGGTTCTGTTCGTCTTTTGTCTACAAATTATTTACAGGCCTTTGTACATCTATAATATATTTTTTTTGTTTATTTATATTAGCCAGAAATCTGTTGTCTTGCATGACGATGATGGTTAAATGACATGCTCAAGACAACTTGTTTGCTTTGAATTTTTATAGCGCTTCTTTGCATTTTTTATTTATTATTATTTAATTGCTTATGGTTGTTGAGTTTGAGAGATATGTGTTGGACAAAGAGTGAGGGTGGAAATGTGTACTTCCGCAAAAGCCTAAAACAAAAAACTGTATACGCATAAAGTAGCAGCACTCAAAAGTATTATGTTCGAATAATAACTTAGTTTTTACTTTCTTTAATGTTTCTTTAGCTTAATTAATACTTGCCGAAATATTTTGCTATTAAAGTCTATATAGTAATTAAAGAACATATTTAAAAAATATTTATCTTGTTTTATATTATTTACGAATTTTGTTTTAAGTCAAAAGTTTATTGAATACATTTTATAAAATTTTATCTACCGAAAATTTCTATGACGATTTTTTGACATTCTTGTCATTTTCAATAGTTTTCCTAATAAAACATAACATTTTTAAATTTTGTATCACATCTTGCAAAAGAATGCAACACCAGTCCTTTAAAAATATTCAAAAAAAAAATGCTTACGAGAGTTATCTGCAATAGCTGATGAATATCCTTGCTAATATGTGGACTGGATTAAGAGCACAATCCTAAAAGCTTACCATCCACAGCTTTACCAATTTTCCGTTCCAGAATTTCCCTTTTATACATTTCACGTTCCTCGTTTCCTCTTCTACAAGTTCCACACTTTCCCAGTTGTTTTTTTTCCACATTTTTATCTGTTATCCTTTAGCCGGGACAACAACCCTCCAAAAATATCCTTTTTCCTGAGCTTTCACCGCAGTTCGGCCAACGGCCGTTAGATGGCGCTTACACTTTTAGCCCTGCATCAAATGTCGAGTATTTTTAGGCAGTGCATTCCCCGTTCCCCTGAACTCAACTTATTTTTAGCGACAAGTGCAGAATTTGATTTTTGGTCATCAGCGACTGCGCATTCAAATGCCGCTCATTAAATGTGTCCGCGTTGTCTGCATAAATCAAACGAACGCACTCCGATTTGGGGATGGGTGGGCCACCCACGAACAATTCCAGCGATCCATCGATCGATCGCGGGGTTCGACCAATTAATTAAATATTTCGATCACAAACGGCGACTTAAGCGGCCAAAAACTATTTTCGCTGTTTAATTTTACGATGCTCTCGGTTCGGGGGAAGGCTTTTTACGGTTTTTTACGACTCTCGGCCATAAATCGCAGCGAGTGCCGCTGCCGGGGAGCTAAATGACAAAAATATTTATGGATGTTTTCTGATGTTGGGCGTGAGCTGGTTGTCTGATCTGTCATTCACGTGTCAGCCCCTCGAGCCCCCCAGTATCTTTATCCCTCGGATATTGGCCCTGCCTTGTCTGACTTTCAACAATTACGCAGCGATCGCAAAAATATTTTCGCGATCAAAACAAACGGCGCAAATAGCGCAAAAATTATGCATATGAATTTGGGTACAGTTACGCCCAGGTGGTCTGAACCCCCTCCCCCTTTTCTGCCAAAAATGATTTTGAATTCCAAGGGTTTTGCTTGCTTTTTTATTGTTTTTTTTTTCTGTGTGAGGGCTACGTGCGACGGAGCGTGTCCGCAAAAAATAATTTCAAACGATTTGCGACAAAATACCTTCGAGTCTTGGGTGCCAAATGATTGGAGGGGATCCCCACCGAAATTCAGCAGCGATCACTTTCTTCAGCTATGATTATTTTGATTGAGAGGGAGCAGCATTGGCTTCCCTAAGAGAAATTCGCAAATTTCTAAAATTGATCCACAATGAAATTATTTTGTAGTATTTAATAAAGGAAAATAAAAATATTCAAACAATATTTTAATGTTTATTATGTATTAAAAAAATACTACTTTTTCAAAGTAATTTTTTACAATAAGTATATACGATTAAAATCCCTGTCTTTTTGCATAAATCCTTAGCCAAAAGTTCAAAAATAATCGTTTTTAATCTAATCTAATCCTTGAATCTCGCAAAAAGAAAACTGAAAGCTCAGGTAATTCTTTTCATACATCGCGCAATTAACAATCAGCGGATTCGAAGCCAAATCGAAGCCTGCCCATTGTTGGCACCGCAACCTTCTAAACCAGGTGCATACATGTGTCACTCCTTCTGTCGCTTTCATAAGGTCTCCCTAAATAAATATAAAACAGAAAACTTTTCGCACTTTGAGGTCTTTGAATTTTGTCCACACTGGTAAAAATAATAAAATTAGTACCACTTTTAATCAAATATTTAGTATTTTATGTTAGATTTGAATTTTATCAGCATTAGTTTAAAATTATGATTTGAATCAAAAGAACATAACATACTAAATAAAATAAGTTAATTATTCCATAAAATGGTTGAAAGTATTATTTAATTTAAAAAATATGATAAATAAGTTTTTTAAAAATCAATACAAAATAATTGTTGTTATTTAGTTTGATTATGAATTGCGCGCTGTCAACTGAAATTTACTATATTTATTATATTAATACAAACTTCTAGGAGCTATAACATAAAAATGAATTTAAGTACTATTTCAATAATATTATTTTCAAACGAAAAGCTACATATTTTTATTAGCAGTGCAAGCAACTGCATTGAAATCGCATTATTAACGCCTGCAAGGAGTGAACTGCACTCCAGACTCTGGGCCATTCCATTCAATTCACTTACCAAATTGGCAGCAGCCAAGCACCGAAGTCGGGTGTGAAAATAATCTGTTTAACGAGGGAGTTTTACAAAAGACCCGAAGATGCCACAAAAAGTGGCAGCAGCGGCCACAAAGGGGGCAACAACAAACGAGCAACAATAATGACATTTGGCGCAAATGAATGAGAAGCGGTCTCAAATATCCGCTCCTCCTCCTCCCTTCCCCTCTCCAGCCTTTTTTTCCAGTCGCTTACCGCAAAAGGATATGACAGCAGCTCCGAGTCGAGCCTGAATCTGAACCTGGAGCCCAAACTTAAACTGAATTTGAACCTGACAGTCTGCCACTTGGTCTTTGGCTCTTTTGGCCATGGCCAGCTTCCTTGTTGTTCTTGGTGTTTTGGCTGTTAGTGATCTTTTTGCTGCGCTGAGATCACTGTTTGCCTTCGATTCCTGTTTTTTTTCTGGGTTCCGTATGCGAACCGACTCGGTGACATTAAAAGGTGGGAAAATGTCAAAAGTTGGCAACGGTACGGAAGAAACTTTTGTCTTTTTTCATCTGCTGATCGAAATAATTGCTGTGGGATAGATATTTCTTTTAAGCTTAATTGAATTTGATAAATAAATAGTTCTGCCGCCTTTGTATTATATGTATTAACTTATTAGATAAACAAGTCTGTTCTTATATTAGTATAGATTTTAATATTTTTTTTTAATATCTGATTGTAACTATTATTGTGAAAGAGTCTTTTGATCATATTATTTCTATCGAATAAATTGTTTAATTAATTTAATTGAAAACAAATTTAAAAAATTAAGTAATCCAATTAAAAAATTTATTGAAAAACTCATATCTCTGTAGCTTTGGAAAAGTTCATAAAATTTCACCGCCTAAACATTTTACATGTGTGCTTCAGCCACCAGCCCACAGATGGCGGCAACAAAAAAAAAAACGAGGCGCTAATTTTCCTGGCAAACAATTTAAATTGCATTTTGCTCTCCTTTTCAGTGCAATTTTTTGGATTAACCCAGCTGTAAATGGATAACAAAGGTGGATTACTTACATGGATTACGAGAATTTAGCTTCGCGTCGAAAAAGGTAAGCACCAAATTGAATCAATTTTCGTTACACAAATGTTTAACCCACGACGACACTCGGGGCGCTCGCTATTAATCCTAAGTGCTTCCTGTGATTTTATGCAAATCGAACATATCGCCGGGGAACGAAGAAAAGAGGAGACCGCAATTCAATGTACAAATGACAGTTGGCTGTGACATAAAACAGCGACTTAAAGAAGATGTTAAGCGTTCTGCAGTTGCATGCCAACATCTGCGGCAACAACAATTTTCCCTGGACAAAAGACATTTTCATTTATTCATTGATAATGCTTTAAGAACTAAAATAAGAAAAAGAAGGACTAACAACGACAAAGCGCAGCCAAAAGAAGAAGAGAGAAACATGCGACAAAACAACATAATTTAAATTTTGCGCATGCATCAGGTTTTTTCTCCAACCCCAAAAACCGAAAACAAAAAAAAGACGCCCGAGCAACATGTTGCCGCAACACGCTAAGAAATCCAGCAACAAGCTCCCTCCTTTTTTATTTATTCCTTTTTTATGGCTCGTAATCCGGTAGCTGTTGCTTTTCTTGCCCCTTTGTTGTTGCTGCCTTCGATTTGCTTTGAATGAAAATGAAATTATCGCATTATTAACTATGAGGAAGGATGCTCCAGCTGGGGAAAACGAAGCGCAAGCAAGTCTGCAGACAGGGCCTAACAAGATGGTCTAAAAAAGAGGCTGGGACGACTCCCCGAACTCCCCATTTGTGGGTCCGGCCGACCGCATACTTAACAATAAAATGAATTGTTAATTCCCTTGCACTTTTTCCGCCGATTTTTTCTTTTTTGCTGTTTGTGGGCTCATCCCAAAACGAAATCTTGGCTGTTTGGAGGAACTGGAGAGCATGCTCTGCCTGCCTTCGCCGTTGTAATGCTCAAGTGCCTTTCTTTTATCTGCGCCACAATCGCCCAGTTGGCTGGGAGGCGGGGTGGGCACAGTGGGCGTGGCAGTGGATTTTGTTGGTAGAATTAGCATTTTATTGAACCAGATAAAATTATACATATTTTATAATTCCGAGGCATGAATAAGAATAACTTAGATCGAAACCAATAAAATCATAATTGAAATGATGATGTTTTATTTTCAACAATAAATCAACATAAGCATATAATAAAGTTCTTTCATTATTTTCATTGATTTTTATTAAAATAACTTTTCCTAGCAATATTTTCATTGAACTGAGCATTGATCTTAAATTACACCACGAATTTTCTAGTTCAACCCACTGTCTTAGACCAACTTCACTGTCTGACCGTTCTTCCCAGTTTAGCTGTGCTTTAAAGCAAAATACCGAACTTGTTCTTATTTTTTCGTATGTCCAACGAGCAAAGACCAAAGCAAAACCAAAGAACGAACCGAACAATTGTTTGCGCGCCAATTGTCTCCGTCCCGAGGTCCCACTGTCCCACAGGTTGGGTCCCACAATGGAACAGACCCCGAGACTTTGGGGCCTTAGCAAATGTCTTCTTCCACAGAATTTGAAACGGAAACATCGAACACTTTGTTTTGGTTCTTGTTTCACATTTTACTTGTTTTTCCCTGCCAGTCTTTTTTTGTTTGCTGTTTTTACCAGTTTGTGTTTTTTCTGAATTTTTTTGCTGCCTCTTTTTGTGAAACTCAGTTTGGCGTTTGTAAGCGCGCGCATGCGTAAGTCTCTCAGGTTGGGTCAGTCACGCAATGGGCCGCGACTCTGGGATCTGGGATTTGGATTGGGAACAGAACTGAACGCAGCACGTAACTGCAGCGACTTTAGTCAAAATTAACAAGCCTCAAAACACAATTTCCAGCGCATGCAAATTCGTTGTCAAAATAAAATAAAATAAGACCAGTGAAATCGAAACAGAAAATGATAGCACACAGGGAAAAACAATTTTAAATGTTTTTGCTATGAAAGTGAGGTAGTTGGTAATTTAATTTAAAACGAAGTTCATCAGTGTGACCTTGCTGTAGGAAATTAGGGCACACTAAAGGAAGATATAAATTTGGTTCTTTTGGTCAAAAAGTACACCCATAAAAATTGGTTTGAGAAATCCCGCAGAGATATATTCCAATATACGAATATGTCAATATGACTATGTAACATAAATGCAATTTTGCTTTAAGATAAGTAAACAAAACAGATGCTAACGAGAGTTTATAACTTAATGTCTATATTTTTTACCGTGCAAAAGTTAGGTCTGGCAAAAAGGAGTCGCGAGGGGCAACTCCAGTTAAGCGATAAATGAGTTACTGACGTCCGAGCATGTGCATGTCCAGTATCAGCCTCCATTCGAGGCTCCTTCTTGGCCTCTCGAGTGTCTTGCTCCAGGCCAAAAAGCAGGTGCTACATCCACGGATAAACCTCTGCCACCCTCCCCCGCCACTTAACCCCCCTAACCCACTGAACCCCCGCTGCAGCAACATTTCAACAGCCTTCAAAAAGCATTTCCAGACATTCTCATATGTAAATTTATGCACTAAGCGGACCACTTTTTTTTGGGGTGGGGGTGGTGATGGGAGGAGAGGTGGGCGGCGGGCGGAGGTGGTGGGGGCGTCACCTCCGGCAGAACACGTAGTCGTAGAAGATGCAGAAGAAGAAGAGGCGGTGGAGGAGGAGAACTAAAATTGATATATGCCTGGGTTATGGTAAAAATCAACTAATTGATCTGCGGCTAACATGATTTTTATCTTTTGAGAACTTAATTATTTTCTGTTTCTGTTTCGCCAGCCGTGCGAGTTGGGACTTCCAATTTGAAATCGATATGGGACTGGGGCTATATACATATCGATATCTTAACCAACTGACAGGGGACAGAAACAGCAACAGAAACTGAGATACTGGAGCGGATGCGTAGGAATGCGAAGGTCTTCGTTATGGGGCTCGATTTGAGTGGTTTCACGGTTTTACTTTGATTGGAAATGGGTTTGAAATGTTTTCAAAGTCCTTAGGGGTGTTTTGTTTTGGTACAATTAGGTGGTCAGAGTCCATGGAAAATGCATGAGGATAAGATTAGCAGAGATCAGTGTGATTTTTCAATATTTATTATTTTTTTAAATACACATTAATCACCGAACATTTTAATACAATAAATTAAGTTCTAGAATTTTTCTTAACCTTAGAAATTACAATATAATTTATATTACCTGAAAAAATAGCTACATGAAATCAACTTGAATTTCTTGCAGTGTTGCGAAAATAATTCGATTGTTAGCCCAACCCCGTTACGATTGTTTGGCCAAAAGCTATTGCCTTGAAGGGGGTCAAACGTGCGAATGGGCATTTGACGAAAATAACCAAAGCCAAATCTAATTCTTGTCTGTTGCCTTAAATGATCGAAAGTTTTATGTTGCGTGCCACAAATACGGCAGCGGAGAATTTATGTTAATATTGACTTAAAACACTCGATCAATATGCGAGTCAGCCGAGGGCAGTTATCGGTATCGTTCGATTTGGCAATGGAATTAAACTTCGATTAAAATTGAGGAAAAAAGCAAAGGCAAGGGGAAAAACAAAGTACAAATGCAAAATGTTGGTCCTAACTGGAACTCAAAGGCATTTCCAGTCGGTGCTTAAATTTTCTCTTTACTTCCAGTGAGAGAGTTTTATTTTTGGCGCCAAACTACCGCAACAGCTGTGCGATGCTCATACAGTGAGTCACAAGAGTAGTCGGTGAAAAGCAAAGAATGTTTATAGAAAAATATAATTCTTAATTTAATATGCATTTGCAAATCAAGAAAGTTGTGTATTATTATAAACCGGAGTTTTGATTTCTGGGAGCAAATAATAATTTTTCTTTAAAATAAACTTATTGGATTCCGGAGCCGATTTCCAGGAAATGTTGGCCGTCAGTCCCTATAAAACCTGAAGTGCAAAAATGTCATTGATCAATCATAAGGTCGATTCCGTGCTAAGGAATATGAGTTCTGAAACGAACTTAGATACGTAGTTGGAAAATTTGTTCCTCAAAATTTTTTTTCCAAATTTTTATTTGAGCACATTTGGTAAGTCAAAATAAGACTGCTACACAGTTCCAAATAGATACGATTAATATTTTTCGAAGATTAGCTAAATATAAATTAAATAATAGGCAGAACTAAACTTGAAAGATTATTATTTTAATAAAATCTTAATCATTTAAAGGAAAATAACAAAAAACCAAAGCTTATGAAAAAAAGAACACACCTAATCAGTTTTTGTGATTAACTTATATTGTTTTTTTTTAAATTTAAATAATGCTTTTCACTAAATAATAGTTATTTGTGAGTGAACGAATACTTATGTGACTCTCTGTAAGTGGAAGAACAGGATAAGAGAGGACTCTCTTAGCGCAGCTGTTAGTCCAGTTTTTTGTGAAGAGGGTGTGGGCATAAGAGTTTCTCTCTGCGTTTGCCATTTGGCATCCGCCACTCGAATTCTTCACTCTTCACTTTGAACTCCGCTCCGTAATGGTTGAAATCGAGGATTTTTGGAAATAGCCGACGGCAAATCATGGCCGCCTCTATTGTTGTAGTGTGGTGTGTTTGTGTGTGAATGAGTGTGCATGAGTGTGAGTGCCTTCCGTTTTTTGGGTTTTTTGCAAATTGAATCGCGCAGCCATTATTCATAATTTCCTTTGAAGAACAGGAATATGTCGATAAATGTTTTGAAGCTAAACTTCGTCATAAATAAATTAGTCATTTTCTGAAATCAATCGCCTGACTTTCCAGTTCTTATCATTTTGTATTGCATTAAGTTTTACTACCTGATGAAATCACCGACGGCAATTCAGCAAATAAAAACCCAGGGAATTTTCTTTATGATTTTTACCAAATTGATTAAAATTACTGATTAGCTTAAATTGGTACACATTAATCTTAAAACTATTAAATAAAATTTGTGATTAGACAATACAAATTTTTATATTTTAACATAGTCTCAGAAATATAATTAGTTTTTAGTTGAATTGGAAACTAAATGTATAAATATGTATTTTAAATGCAGCAAAGTCAATAACATAAAG